AAAAGACAAAATTTCTTAAGTGCTACAAAGGACGGGAAATTGTGGTGAGCCATGATGCCCTATATTCCAAGAGGTCACGGCATATAAAGGTGATAAGATGAGGCATCTGGCATTTAAGATGAAGAGACGTGAATTTCAACGTTTAAAGCCTTTTCTCTTGATTAGGACTTGAACACTAAATGCTGGCATCGAAGAAGAGAGCATTTTATCACTGGAACGAGAAAATTCGTTGTTGTGAAAAAGACTGATTTCTTCACTTTGAATATATTAGACTGAGTGAGTTTAAAACAATAATCTACTATGGAAAAGGTAAAGCAGAAATAAGCTTTACCTAATTAACAGGCGTAAACGATTTTGAATTCTATCAAGACTGTAAAGTGAGGATTGGGCAACTCCTACATAGAAATACTTCTACTGGGGGAAAGGCAATGCAGCGTAAACAAATTGCAACTCTATCATGGTGGAACAGAGAAGATTGGGCAGATATGGCTGAAGTACTCCATTTTTTTGTCAGTGGAAAAGTAGATCATCATCATCATTATCATCTTGACTTTTGTAATCTTAAAGCGGATCCGAATGCAGAAGCCACACGAACTCTTTTCCACAACGTTCTATCAACGGCAGCCATCAGCATTTCTGTTTCAAGCATACCTGTCCATTGTCTGACATTGTCCAACCATTTTTTGCGTCCTCTCCTACGTCCACTTTCAATGGTGCCTTGCATGATGGTCTTGCACAGGCTGTCGTGCCTTGTAACGTCTCCAAACTACGCCATTTTTCTCCGTTTGACGGTGGCGAGATGTTCCTTGTGTCCCACAAAACTTTCAATCCTTTTCCGCACAAACTCATTGGTTTTTTGTTCCCAATAGAAAATACCAAGGAGTTTTCTCATGCATTTGTTCTCAAACGCTTAGAACGCAGATGCATGGTGGAAAATATAAAATAGCTTAAACGATTTAGGAACTCTATCAGCGCTGGAAAGGGAAAATTGGGCAGCACCAGCCCAGATATCGCAGCATTACTCCATTTTAGAGATAAAATATTTATGTTTCAGATAATAAAATGTGTAGTTATATTTTGTAAATATGCGTGAATATCATGCTTTTATAGCAGTGAGTCACTTAATTACTGAATTTTAGCAGAATTCGGACTGTGTTAGATGTCAAAAATTATTAGTTTTACATAAAAAAAATATAGCTATTTAACTTCTGTATTAATTATCTCCTTCATCACAATTTATCACAATTTAAAATTTTGTACATGTATCTCCAAGGACATTGTTTGATGTCAAAAGTCCTTTCAGGATTTGGATTGGAGAACATTTCACAATCCTTATTTTAAGGTTTGATGTTAGTTTGTCGATGAATTTAACATGAAGAAAATAATATCCAATGAAGGCATCTATTAGGTTGAGTCATAAATAATTAACTTTTTTGTTTATCAACTTTATTCTCCAAAAGATAAATCCAATCCTATTTTATGCAATTATATATTCACCATAATTTGCAATGACATTGCCAATTATCAGACAGTTCTTCGATACATTTCGAGTAAGATTCCGAAAAAAAATACAAACTCCTGAATCTTATTTACTTCAGAGAAAGTTCTCTCCATCAAAACGTTTTAACAGGTAAAAAAGGTAATAAAGGTGCAAGGTCAGATGACGGGTAGGGCAGGACAGACTAACCGAGTTCCATTTTCTTTTCCTGTGTTATTCCCTCTGTATATTTCCTTGAGTTTACATGACATTAGAACAAAAATGTTCTTTTTAACGAACGCAGAGCAATTTCAGACCAAATGTTTATGTCCTGGTTACAGCTGCTAGACGTATAAATGTGAATTTAACTATTCATTTTTCATTCAAAACTCAAAATAAATAAAACTTCCATTCGAAACAAAGAAAACTGTACTGAACTGTTATGTAATATCAGTTCTCCCCTATTACAGTGAATCATGGACAATTTCATCATGCAGGAGAGACGTGAACCAACAGAATTGTGGTTCTGCAGAATGATCCTGAGAATTCCATGGAGATAAATGTGAGCAACGTCGAAGCTTTGGAGAAAATGGAAACTTATACTTAAGATCAGGAAGATAGGGTTGAAATTACTAGGCCACATAATGAGGAAAGAAGGCTTGAAAAATTTGATACTCACAGGACAAATTGAAGGCAAAGAGGGATAGAGGAAAACGACGCATAGCCTACCTATCAAGGTTTAGAGAAAGTGGAAACAAAAAAGAAACTTATACTTAACATCAGGAAGAGACCGTTGAAATTTCTAGGGCACATAATGAGGAAAGAGGGATTGGAAAATTTGATACTCACAGGACAGATTGAAGGCAAAGTGGGATAGAGGAAAACAATGCATAACCTACCTAGTAAGGTTTAGAGAAAATGGAAACAAAAAGACACTTATACTTAAAATCAGGAAGAGACAGGTGAAATTTCTAGAGCACATAACGAGGACGGAGGACTTAAAAAATTTAATACTGCGGTGTCGAGGAAGTCTACCTGAACTGCATATTCGGATCTCTAATCCAATATTGACAAAATATGATGTTATTGGTCCTGATCTGGCATATCGGATTCAGTGACTTTCCAACCAACGTAACGTAACTTCCTTTTGGCTTTTCTTTAAATACGTTCATGATAACTGCTCTGATAAGTTTTCCGTTTTGGTACCTTGACTTTACGAATTTAAGCACAATACTAGATTGGCGACTAGGTCTCATTTTTTTACAGTTGGAATTGATAGATGTAACCGTAAGTTCTATGCTAATACTTTCTTCTTTTACACTTCTCTCTTGTGCAACTCTTTTCCGGTTTGTAGTCCTCCAGTCTACATTGATCTTCACAAATTTAAATGTAATGTCAATTGTTATCTTCTGTTTTCCTAATTCCTGTTATTCTAATGTCCTCTCTCTCTCTCTCTTAAAATAATTTTTCTCAGATTATTTCATTCTCACTGACATTCTTGCGTTTTAGTGGCTTTATCGCCTTGATTTGGGTAGAATAATAAAAAAGGTGTATTATGTGATTCAGGCAAGGAAATACAAGAGGATCTGAATTAAATTTAATCTCAATAAGGGTCTTTTGTCGACTAATCTATCGGACTCTAGATAGATTTTGTATTTAGTATTACATCAGAGCAAAGGAGAAGCCAGGCTGACCTGAAAGTCAACCTCCTAACCACCAGGTGTGGGTTTGTGCCTTCATTTGATGTCTGTGCCTGCCTCCGACATAACGAGTGTAACAGCAAAATGGTCCAAATCGTGTAACAGCAAAATTGTCCAAATCGTGTAACAGCAAAATTGTCCAAATCATGTAACTGCATAACTGTCCATCCCACAAAATGTTTGATATATATATATATATATATATATATATATATATATATATATATATATATATATATATATATAAAGTAAACTAATTTAATTTCTTTTTTTCCAAGTTTTCAGGTGGAAAGAAGAAAAATGAGGAGGAGGAAGTAGAACAAATAGGAGAATAATAATAATAATAATAATAATAATAATAATAATAATAATAATAATAAGGCTTTATTCTTGCAGCGCAAGACCAGAGTCTTTTCACTAGGAATTTTCAGGCAAATATCATACATAATAATGTGGATCCAAAATGCAGGTTCTGTGACAAATACCAAGAAACAATAGACCATCTAATCTCAGGATGTTCTATACTTGCCCCAAATGAATATAAAAATCGTCACGATAGAGTGGGGGCAATACTTACACTGGACAATGTGCAAACACTTTGGAAAATGTGTAAGCAAACACTGGTATGAACATCGGCCAGCGCCGGTTACAGAAATAGAAGATGTCACCATTCTATGGGATTATACCATCCACACAGACAGAAAAATTGAAGCAAATAGGCCGGACATTATTGTCAAAAACCAGAAAGAAAAAACTTGCCTACTAATTGATATGGCTTGTCCAGCGGATTGTAACATAGCAACCAAGGAATTTGAAAAACTATCAAAATACAAAGACCTGGAAATTGAAATAGAAAAAATGTGGAAATTGAAAACAAGAATAATACCAGTGGTAATAGGTGCACTTGGAATTATAAAAAAATGGAACAAAACAACACATTGAAAGAATCCTGGAAACCCCAGCTTAAGAGACATACAGAAAATTGTCTTATTAAGTACAGCACACACACTAAGGAGAACTTTGTCTATGTAACGCTAGCAACTTCACACCGAAATGTGGCCATAACAACACACCACGACCTGCCTTAGGTCTTTCCGCAGACTTGGTAGGTAGTGTGTCCATAGCAGAAATCGAATGATGATGATAATAATAATAATAATAATAATAATATTTGGTTTAACATGACCACTGACGAAAAACTAAATAAACATAAATGACAAACAGTGGCATACACATTTAACTTTATTTCTATAAGAAATGCTTAATGGTATATAGAAGCATTTTTCAAGATTGTCGCCTGCTTAGAACGTAAATGTTTGGTCGAATATAATCTTTTAATGGAAAAAATGTTGATGATTGCCAACCACAAATCTCTTTAAAGTTCAGAGGCCATCTTTCTTTAAAAAAAAAACAGTCAAGATACAAATAAGAACAGTAATGGACGGTAGGTCGGATTTAACAAAAAAATTTGTTTGTCTGACAGTTCAGTTGCTAGACTTACGCACAATCGACTGCGACCGTCGCTTTGATTTCAAATCAACAGAGAAAGAACTGACTTACTGGCCATTTATCCCCTACTCTGGTGGATTCGTTTATAGAAACATGATGTCTGTAAAAATTTTAGCTTGGTATATTCCAAAAGCGTATTATATAAATTTTTATTGGAGAATATGTTCGCTTGAATGTGGGTTTTTTAAAGTTGAAATGAGATGTGTGTGCTTATCTCTTCTTATAGCGAATAAGAAGCGATAAGCACAAGCCTCCATAGAAAAGATAGATGAGAAAATAAAGAAAGATATCAAAGAATGAAAAAAAGAAAGATATCAAAGAATGAAAAAAAGAAAGATATCAAAGAATGAAAAAAAGAAAGATGAGGGGAAAAAAATGAAGAGAAATAATCGAAAGGTAAAATTTTTTATAAGGGAAACAAATGAAAAAAATAGTGAAGAAAGAAAGAAAGAAAGAAAGAAAGAAAGAAAGAAAGAAAGAAAGAAAGAGTGACAGCTTGTTTGGGGCATAAATAGATTTTTCAAAAACGGACAGAAAAAAATGAAAATGAGACGGAATGAAAAGTTAAGAAAGAAAGAAAGAAAGAAAGAAAGAAAGAAAGAAAGAAAAGAAAGTAAAAAAAGAAATTGAGGAAAACGTAAAGAAAATCTTTACGAAAGAAAAAAAAAGAAATAAAATTGAAGAAGAGAGAAAGTAAAAAATAAAGAAAGATTTAGATTTAAAAATGAAAAAAATAACGATAAGAAAACGAAAACCTGGAAAACAAATAAAAGAAAGAAAGAAAGAAAGAAAGAAAGTAAACGAAAAAATAAACAGAAGAAAAGGAAGAAAGAAAGAAGGAAAGAAAATAAGTAAAGGAAAGAGAAAAAATAAAGATTTTTAAAAGGAACAAGAGGCAAAAAAATAAAATGAAAGAAAATTAGAAAGAAAGAAATGGAAAACCCAAAACCGAATAAAATTGAAAGAAAATTCAGGGAGAAAATATTAAATAAAGAAAGAAAATAATGTAAAAGACTGACAGACAAACAGAAAGAAAGAAAGAAATAAAACGAGGAAGTCGAAGGAAAAAATAATGAATGAAGAAAGAAAATAACGAAAAAGAAAGAAAGAAAGAAAGAAAGAAAGAAAGAAAGAAAGAAAGAAAGAAAGAAAAAAAACGAGGAAGTCGAAGGAAAAAATAATGAATGAAAAAAGAAAATAACGAAAAAGAAAGAAAGAAAAAAGAAAGAAAGAAAAAGAAAGAAAGAAACGAGGAAGTCGAAGGAAAAAATAATGAATGAAGAAAGAAAATAACGAAAAAGATAGAAAGAAAGAAAGAAAGAAAACGAGAAAATCAAAGGAAAAAATCCTGCATAAGGAAAGGAAATAACGGAAAAGACAAACAAACTGACAAACAGAAAGAAAGAAAATTTAAAAATTTTCTTTTTATAAATGAACAAGAGATAAAAAAAAACAAAAAAAGAGATAGAAAAAAAAACGAAGAGAAATTAGAAAAAAAAAAAGAAATGTAAAACCCGCGACCAAATAAAAAAAAAGAAAGAAAGAAATTGAAACAAAATAAAGTGAGACAGAAAGATAATAATAATAAAAAAAAAGATCATAAAGACAAAAAAAAAATATGAATGTCAGAAAAATTTTTAAAAAAATATGTAAAAAAAGAAAGAAAGAACTAAATTTTTGTCGAAGGTAAGTGAATAATTCAGAAGACCTTTAACATTTGTCTCGAAAAATACACATACATATGTCCCATCCGGTGACTCACTTATTCAAGACAATGAAACGATTCTAATCGAAACTGATCAACTGTGACGGCAATGCCATAAAATATTATCCACTCAATGCCATAGTAAAATGCATTGGCACAAACAAAATGAAACAAAAAAGTAATCCTTTATGATGTCTCTTAGACACAAGAATTTAAAAATAAGCAATGGTATTTCAAGAACAGAGAGTTACAGGCTAGCGTTTCACGACTGATGGCTCCTGTCCTTAAAATTTAGCCGTGAAAAAAAAACAAAAACAAAATCAACCAATTTAGTATAACACCGAAATTCTTCATTGCCATCATCAGTCCCATGACCGGTTGTGGTCGTAGGATCGCTATGCAGGTGGGAACATGGCAAATTCCCTCTACACGCCTGCGTTGAAAGCCATATATGTATTCTTTTATGCGTAGCGTGCAAAGCGGGCCTATCGAAGCTTACTCTTTTCCAGGTCAAATCACAACTGATGTGCTCCAACTTGAGGACTTGTTCATGGACCGTTGATTTCAACTGGCCATTGACTGTTCGACGTGGCCATTGAATTCCGTCTAGGGAGACTTCCGGGTAGCAATGCTATGTCATCATTGCACTTGATGCATACATAGCTATGAAGTCTAGCCTACCCCATTGTGCTAGATGGTAGCTGACCTAACACGAATCCGCATGCGTGTGCAAGTTGACCTAACGCCATTCGCATGCATGAGAATCGACACCAGTGACATTTTTTCTCGGTGAATAGGAATCAGTGGTCTATCAGAGATCAGTAAAAGCGATACAGGAACCAGATTGGGGCCATACTGAAGACCTGTAAAATCTTTATTAGAAAATCTAGCTTGTGATCGAATCAGTTGACAACTAGTTTGCAGAGATTCTGTTCAAATCACAAATGCAAGGCTAGTCCAGCAGACACACATCCGCCATTTTGACGGGTCTTGGTTTGGTTTATTTTGTTTTACGGCATATCAGCCACAATGGTTTATTTAATGCCGACAAGATTTTTATTGCTAGTAATATTTTCTTCAAAAATGTATTGATAATAATATTTTTCCAAAAATATATTGCTGGTAATATTTTTACGAAAATCTATTGCTGGTATTAAAACCTATTTTTACACGCTTTGACCTCAGTTTGTGGGTTAACTATTTGCCCATGGCTTTGACCCTGACAGGTGCTACGACCCCGAGTCAGGGTGGACCTAGGAACACCTGCAATTAAGAGATGGTTCCATGCTCCTCAAAACCTCCTGATCAGAGGTCTTACTGTTGGATGTATTTTATCGTCTTACTCAGGATGCGGATATAGTTTATCGTCTTACCCAGGACGCAGATGTTAGTTTATCGTCATACCCAGGACCGAACAGGTCTTGTTTTTTTATCCTGCTGGGTGTCTAAACACCAGAGAAGCATGGCGGTAGATTCGGTAGGTAGTACAAAATTTAATATTAATCTCAGATAACTGAATGACAAAATAGAAAAAAATCCACTGTTATGTGTTTCGTCCCTAGAAATGACATCTTCAGATTAATAATAGCTTTATCGATAGAGTCAGCCATATATATATTTAAACGTTATTTTTAGTGGGTAGTCGTATTTGAGTCAACGCTCCGTATGTTTATCAAAAAGTTTATTTATTTTCGTCTACTGGTCTGAATGTTGGAGAAATCTTATTAAAGAAAAATATACATTTTCACGCGAAAATAAATAAATCTACTGTTTAATAAATAAACGGAACGTCGACTCAAATAAGAGTATTCACTAAAAGTAATGTTTAAAGTACACACACACACACAAAAGAAAAAACGAAGATAGATAGGAACAGACTGAGATAGATAGATAGATAGATAGATAGATAGATAGATAGATAGATAGATAGGAGCAGACCGAGATAGATAGATAGATAGATAGGAACAGACCGAAATAGATAGATAGATAGATAGATAGATAGATAGATAGATAGATAGATAGATACCGTTCTTAGAATTGAAAACCTGGATAATAATGTGCATTTTAGGAACCTTGCCAAATGAACTAAATAAAGTTACATTACAGTTTTTAGTGATTAACAGATTTAATGTTTACATTTTTCAATAAAGTTACAGTTTTAAAACATTTTAAAGTTCTACATTTGACTGATGATGTACCAATCAACCTTTTTTTCATAGTGCCAAGTCTGGTTCCAAATCAGCTGGCGCCAAAGTCTAATGTCTTAAATTCAGAGTTGTTATTCACCACCAATCCTATAGGTTCCAGTTTGTCCTTCTATTTATTCATAAGTGACGAGATGGATTCACATATTTCTCAAGAGTGTTTGCGCTTAAGTGAATGCAACGAATTTGACTGGAATTCGACTTCAGCTCTCAAATCCTCTGCACTGATCCTCAGATTGACACCCAAACACTCTGAAATGTTTGTAATGGAGCTTTCGGCGCGAATGCTAAACAGTACAACATGCCGTTCTCAAATTTCTGATGGAGTGAATTGCATCATGATGCTCTTTTTCTCACAGACGGTGCCCAACTGACCCTACTATAGTGTACAGTCAACAAAATCAAAAACAAACAATACGAGTAGCTAAAAATTGAAAATGGGGACAATTGACCGTCGCACACACTATATATATATATATATATATATATATATATATATATATATATATATATGTGTGTGTGTGTATATATATATATTATAAATTAATTGATTTAAAATATGGTTTTTCCGCTACACAGTTCTAACCATGTTTCAAAAAATAGAAGCTAAAAGCCACGAATTTAATTTTGCAATTAATGCTCTGTAAATTTACATCGAGCACTATTTTGTAAAAATAAAAATACCTATAAGAACACCGGATTATATATCTTACTGTTCTTTCTTTTTATTTATATACATATATATATATATTTCTAGAGTAGTCAGGAAGAAGTTGTGCATCAGTTTATGCAAAGAATCTAAATCATGGGAAAAACCCAAGTGGTAGAAAAAAAACTTCATTGATCGACTCATAGACGACATCGGAATTAGAACGGAAGAACTGTATAGAACTATCAGTGGCAGAAATGGTTAGAAAGAAGTAATTAGAAGTGTTCATTTCAGGTTGGATAGATAGATAGATAGATAGATAGATAGATAGATAGATAGATAGATAGATAACTAATATATATATATATATATATATATATATATATATATATATATATATATATATGTTATAAATTAATTGATTTATTTTAAATCAATTAATTTATAATATTAATGCTCTGTAAATTTACATTGAGCACTATTTTTAAAAAATAAAATATCTATAAGAACACCGGATTATATATCTTGCTGTTCTTTCTTTTTATTTATATACATATATATAGATATAGAGATATATAGATAATGAACATAGATAAATAACTAATGAAGATATAGACAGATAGATAACTAATGAACAAACAGACAGATAGATAGATAGATAATGAATATAGATAGATAGATAACTAATGAATATATATATATATATATAGAGAGAGAGAGAGAGAGAGATAATGAACATAGATAGATAGATAACTAATGAAGAGATAGACAGATAGATAATTAATGAACAGATAGATAGATAGATAGATAGATAGATAGATAGATAGATAGATAGATAGAAAACTAATAAACAGATAGACAAACAGATAGATAAGTAATAAACAGATAGATAGATAACTAATGAACAGATAGATAGATAGATAGATAGATAGATAATGAACATTCATTCTTCTTACCTCGACTCAAACACAGATTGGTGGCACTGGGGGGGATATGGCGCCACTGTTTCAGCTTGACCGCCCCCAAACTGGAGCATCCTCGAGTCTATGCATAGCAATTTACGTCTACCCCGATTCCTAGATATGTGGATGCTCACAAAGCAAAATAATGCATCGTCTTAAGCGGGATAAAATAGGATTCCATGCAAAACGATAGGCGAACGCCGGCCACATTGGATGTGTATGCTCACATCGCAGGCCTTGTCTCTTGTCCATTTTTCATTAGTCGATGTTATTCCAATTCAGTTCGAAGCTTACAGAGATCAAAACGATATTGAGAAAGGAGAGAATGCGAAGAAGAAAAAAAACATGTCTTCGCGCTGAGCAGCGAAAGACATCATTTCCTTGGAAGCCATTATGAATGAATTGCATGAAATCACAAAGCTCCGTGAAGATGGCAAAAGAAAGCCGTGCCCTTTGCCTTTTTGGCTTCTAGCCTTCTGATCTCCTTGTCAATGGGCTTTCAATACAATTTGCTTTGATTTGAGGAGACGGAATACACATCTTTGTCGCTTTCTTGTTCTCCATTTTGTTTATTTGTTCCTTTGCCTCTCAACTCATTTTTTTCTCTCTGTAATATTTTAACACACATACGCACTCACACAGACGCGCGCGCACACGCACGCACACATATATACACACATAATACATATATGTGTGCGTTTGTGGATACATAATAGTATTCAAAATAAAAGTGATGACGAGACAAATAGGAAAAGTTTATAAACGACGCGTTTCGTCGACGTGTGTTGAGTTCGGCTTCTTTAAGTCGGAATGAAAGATAAACCTGTGTATGAAGAAAATGTGCTGTTTTTTTAGGATAAGAGGGGCAATAAATCAAATTACTTTACCTGATCCGACGACCAAAGACATTCTTTGCTTTTTTCCCCCTTTTTTATATTAGTGCTGTTGGTGTCTGTTGGATTTTAAATCAGCCCACATCGAGTAGAACTCTTTATATTTCTCTGTAAGCTCGTATAACGTATTGTGGTACTATTGCTTTTGCGATTATGTATAAGCCTGGTCTTAGGTCTATTGTCGAGAATTGTTTGACTACCGCTCTCCCAATGTATTTTCATTTTTAGTGAACCTTTTCTTGCTTCATGAGACGAGCATTTATTAAGTCGAAATTGTGGTCAGATGCATTACGATGAACAACTAGCGTGTTTAAAGTGTTTTTAGACAACATATCTCTGCGGTGTTCATATAGTCTTTTTTTCAGGTTTCTGGATGTTTCACCGGTGTACATTGTTGGGCATTTTGGGCAATTTATTCTATATATTCCTGCCTCTGTCCTGCTGATATCTATCTATCTATCTATCTATATATATATATATATATATATATATATATATATATATGTTTACACTGAGGTCAACATCCAGCGGTGACAGTCTGCTTCATGTTTAAACGCAATCTTCATTACCTGGAGTTTGCGTTTAAGCATCAAACAGACTGCTGCCGCTGGGTGTTGACCTCTATGTACACTTTCATATTTACATACGCTGTATCTGAGATAGCGAGCTCTTTAACCCATAAATATAGCATCCCTTAAAAATATTTTTTCTCACACACACACACACACACACACACACACACACACACACACACACACACACACACACATATTACATGAATCATTCATACAAAAAACAGATAGAGAAGTTAATGATATAAATGGCGAGAATACATCTTCGCAACAAATTTAATAAATTATATTAACCCCGAACCTGTAGATGAATGTTATGATCCCTGTTTATAAATTCCAGTTGCAAAAGGTCTTTTCTTATTTTTTTTACAAGCTTTCATCTGTTCATACAGACATCATCAGGTATGGAAATATATTTGTTTTTCTTTTTTAATTCTCGGTAATAACAAGACAACGAAAATATAGATGTAATCCGAAAAATGTTTTTAGAAATGTGTTATTGTTAATTGTAAGAAATTTTTGGAGCGTGCGGTCGCAACGCTGAGGCTGAATTTTTAAATTTTAAGATTGTGCGTTTTTGTCCTAATATGGTAATAGGAGAATTCTTTTGTACTGACAGGTTTTTCAATGTGGCATGAAATAAATTGTTCAATAATTAGAGGAATGTCACAGTTATTATCCGAAAGTTGCACGTCGGATCAGTTATTATAATATCAAGTATGTGGTGCAGTAATGTAAATTGAAGTGCCATATATATATATATATATATATATATATATATATATATATATATATATATATATATATATATATATATATATATATATATGAAGTTTTAGAATGAGTTAGCATTTATTACATTATTTACAGTCGGACTAATATGCTTACCTTTATTGCTGCAAAATTTCGGCCGTTCCACCCTCCGGTCTTCTTCATGTGCCACGGGACAGCAGCTTACAGGATCAAAGCGTTGGTTCTGGACGGACTCAGGCACGGTGGAAACTGGACTAGCAATCACTGAGCAGTACGAAAAACAAAATAGAACGAGACGTGATATCCCTAGACAAAGTAAGCCGAACAAGAACAATCTACCCCGTTCGACAGACACCTGAAGAATGTCAAAGAGCACAATGGCCGTATAGCTGTAACAACAACAACAAAGATGAAAGCCTACTGGCCTTATACAGATACGCTCTTTTTCTGAAACTGTAACGAAAGCTCGTTCAGCATAGCTAGAGTATAAAACCCAGCAGCTTCTCTCTGTGGGTGTCAGACAAATAAAAATGTACCTGAGCATGCGTCTGCAACAGGGATTAGATAGCCACCCTAGGAAACTGGTATACTTTGACACGAATAGCCAGCCATTACAATGCTTCATACTTGTGGCTAGTGCTAGATTAAGATAAGTTTAAGAAGAAAAAACGGTAGGAAGTTGGAATCCTTCCCTATAGTGTAATGGTTTACGAGTAAGACTGAAGCACCATGATTATTATAGAGAGCTTGTATTTCACTGGTTACAACACATTTTTGCCTTGTAACAGTTAACAAATATTTATCATATTCACCTCGTATGACACAGGGATACATATTTGAAGTTAACTTCAATCCTTTTTTTATGTGCTATGTCACTTCATAATATGAGCGATCATGGCTCTCCACAACTTCATATCCCTTATAGCTCTAAGCATTAGGTAGGTTTCTCGCTGTTTCTCTTTACTCTCCCTGTCTTTAGTATGTCTTGTGACTGTTATATTTTACAAGCCGTCTTTCCTCATTATGTGACTTAGAAATTTCAACTGTCTCTTTCTGATTGTAAATATCAGTGTTCTTTTTTAACTCTTTTTCCTTTAAACTTCCTCGTTGTTTATACGTTCGGTTCATGGTATTCTCAACATCCTACTGTAGAACCACATTTCTGTTGCTTCGTGTCTCTTCTTCATGTGCGTGAAAAATATGCGTCAAAATTTAACAATGATTGTCAACGATGGTATTGCCAGAGTCAGTCTGTAGAACCACATCTTTGTCGCTTATCAGTGAACTTGCTTATGTTACTCTCTTTTAAATATAACTTCCCTATAAGCAAAAAAAAAAAAAAAAAGGCCGTGGCACAAAAATCTGACCATTTTTAAAACTTGATCACGGGCTACAGACCCCAGAGACCGTCTCACAACTGTTGCACCCACTGAACACAAGGATGGGATTACAGTAACGGCATAAATATGGCCCATTCTTTTGCCTATGAAAGGTAACCATAGCCTGTGGAGCGCTTGCGGAAAACTTAAAACGGCAGACACTAATTATGAACGATGTTGTGAGAAAGTCTGTGGGTTTTATGAAAACGCTATTATTATTTTTTCAAAATTTTATTCCGTACGAAAGAAAGGTAATAATAATAATAATAATAATAATAATAATAATAATAATAATAAACACAATAATAATAATAATAATAATACCTAGTGAAAATTTAAGAAAAGAAAAAGAAAAGACAAATCTAACTTGAAGACAGGCATATTGTCGAAATATTGTTAAACGTTGTCTTTTCTTTTTATAAATTGTGCTTTTCTCTAAGTGTAGCAAAATATTGGAAGAGTTACGTCAATCAGTTTGTTTGTTAATAATAATAATAATAATAATAATAATAATAATAATATCCCGATTTGTCATTACGCATTCGATCACAGCTGGTTGCTGGGTTTTTAAAAGCACTTGCAGAGTTATCATCTTGGAACTTGAAGCTAAAGGAATAAAAAATAAGAAAGAAAGAAAGAAAAAAGAAAGAAAGAAAGAAGATAAAAAAGTGAAATAAAAAGAAAAAAAGGAAAGAAATGAAAATAGAAAGAGAGAATTCTTTTGGTAGGAATTCTGCTTTGCAGAAATTTTGCTTTGTTTGTTCAATAAAAGAATACAGAAATGAGGTAAACAATAACATTGAAAAATGGGTGGTAAAGAAGAAGTGTAAAAAGAAAGAAAAAAGAAAAGAAATAGATAGATAGATAGATAGATAGATAGATAGATAGATAGATAGATAGATCTGGACAGTGCAGATAGATAGATAGATAAAGGACATAATGCTAATTATGGGCATACTGAGGCACAGAAAATGAGGGAACATGAGCTAGATACACGAAGTTAGTACATGGTACCATTTTTAAATATCCAAACCATCGTGAGCTAATGTCAGACCATTGCAAATCTTCGTGTCCGTTTTACATTGTAAATATAAACTTGATAATGGCGTTTGTTTTGGCCCTGATTTCTGGTGTGTTCTAGATTGGAAATTTGTATCGTTCATTTGTGAGTCAGACTTTGTTGAAGGTTAACGTTTTGTCCACAAATGAATGTTTTAAAAATGGACGATGAAAATTATATTATACTCTATGAATTCCGAAAATTGCGACAAAACCAGCCAAAAGGTTTATTTGGATCGTGCTCCATCATTTCGGGCGGTCAAAAATGGTTTGACAGGTTTCATCAGGGTGATTTTAACTTAAACCCACAAACTCTGGACGACCTTCAGACGTCGATGAAGGCGCTCCATTTGTCATCGTGAAGAATAAACAGATTTCGACAGAAGAGATTGTTAAGAGTTTGAGAATCAATAAGTCTACTATCATTTGAAGAGACTTGGGTTCGAGAAAAACGGACGATTTTTGCAAATCGAAAAAGTGCCATTTTCTCACCCCGACAACGCAAGATTACATGTTGCAAAACAGATATTGCAGAAGTTTAAAGATTTGAAATACGAAACAATGGAATACCGTTCGTATTTTGTTGACTTGGCTCCTTGTGATTTTCATTTGTTCCGATCTTTACAGAACAATTTAGAATGACAAAAAAGCCTCTGTACAGTCAGTCGAAAACCTTCCAACAAAAAACATGAAGTTTCTGCAAAAACGCCAGCAGCAGGCTTGTAGAATTCGTTGAAAGTAATGGAGATTATGTACTTGACTAATGAATGTTTTTTTTATATATATAAAATATTGTTTTTAATTTTCTAATTGGGCCCGAACATTTGTAATGATTTGATGAATTGAACTAAGAAAATGCTCACGATATAACGATACATGTTAAATATATAATGATACATACAATGATATAATATAATGATGTGCTGGGTGTAACAGCAAAATTGTCCAAATCGTGTAAAAGCATAATTGTCCATCCCACAAAATGTTTAATATCTAAAAAAAAACCCACAAAACTGAGTTTTTTTTCCAGGTTTTCAGATGTTTTGCCATCTTGCAACAATTTGACGTAAAAATCAAGAAAAATCACTTTGAGTTATCCAGGTAGAAAGAGAACATGTTAAAATCATTTAGTGTCAAACCGACCTAGTTCTTGATAACGACTGAGACATTCGAGATTTTATATATATATAGACAGGGAGTATCAAAAATACTTTTACAAATTTTGGGCCGACTTCCTCACACCGAAATAAGGACAAAATTTCATATAAACATATGTCGGCAAATCCTTCAGTTTTAAGTTAAGTTTAAAGCATACCGTAGACGCCGTTAAATGTGCAATCCAAAAACGAAACACTTAACTCATTACGACAAAACGTTAAACGTTGAAGATAGAGTAGCCCCAAATGTACACGAATGACAAACGTAACCTAGTCTACATGTCAATACAACGCCATATAACGTAAAGTTCCTTTAAACTTAATAAATCAAAAACGAAGGATTTGCGAACATATGTTTATATGGACTTTTTTGCTTGTTTTGGTGTGAAGAACCCACCCACAAAGTTTGTAAAAGTATTTTTGATACACCCCTTTATATATATATATATATATATATATATATATATATATATATATATATATATCTAGAAAGGGTCAGTTCAGTTATGTGCCATGCGTGATACACGCTTAGGCAATCATATATCTTTCGATACATGACGAGGCAGATTTTTTCCCGCAGTCGGTTGCCATTTCTTTCTGTGGTAGACCAGTTGCCATCCAAGGCTATAGAACCCGGTCTGTCCTGCTATTTACCCATAGCTGGAAGGAGAAGAAGAGGATTCTACCTTTCACAAGAGTATTAGCACCTAAGTGAAAAGAATTGAATTTGCATCTGAAATGGAAGGACACAATTCCTTACTCTTCCTAGATATCAAGCTACACCGTATTAACAATAGTTTAAAACTCGGTAGAGATTTGTTATGGATGACTAGGTTAGTTATATTAAATTTAGTATAGTATATAATTAATTTTATTTTTTACTTAGATCAGTGGGAGATATATTAATGTATATGAATCTTTTTCTATTTTTTTCCAACCATAACAACACTTCTCCGTCAACTAGCGTCTTACAATAGGCCAACATCGTATTTAAATGTCCTTTATGTCTGATAAAAATGTTAATATGCATGTTGGCTTTACAACAACGATGATGACAAGACGGTTTACGTTGCACTTGAATGATCATAGTTTAATCTCATAACATCTACAGTTTAGACAAGATATTATTCGGAAATACACCAGTTCTTCAAGATAATAAGCAAAGACTTAAAATTCTGGATGCCCCTTATATAAGAAAATGCGATCAAATATAAATAAAGTTAACTACGAGTATAGCAACAAAGTTCTTGAATGTTTGTAGCAGCAAAGTGTTACATAAAAATACTAAATTAAAATACTACAATTAAAAAATTTTAAAAATGTTTTTTAAACCACATATGTCACCTCCCTTGCACCCATGTAAAAACTGGTCTAGAAGAAGGACAACTCTGAATTCAAAACAGGCGGTGGTTTGTTTGGGGGCCTTGTGGTACGTGGTGCACTAGCTCTCTGTATTCGGCTCTTTAAAACGTGTGGTTAGTTCACCACTATTATCAAATAATATTTGCAGGAGTCTGGCTGTCGGATCCTAGGAACTGAGTTGCTTGACCCTCATACGTTGAATACGACGGGGAGAGTATATATATATATATATATATATATATATATATATATATATATATATATATATATATATATATGAAGAAATATAGTCTTAAGATGTGCTGTATTTATGGGATAAAGTGCTCAATATCAGAGATAGAGTGTGTGTAAATATAAAAGTGAACATAGAAGTCAACACTTGGAGGCGACAGTCTGTTTCATGCTAGATGGTATTTATCAATCCACCCACGGGGATCGAATGTGGCACAAGGCCTTTTTAATGTGGGTAATGTCTGTTTCATGCTAGATGCAATCGTCAGGCCACGATTGGCATCTAGCATGAAACAGACTGTCGCCTTCAAGTGTTGACTTCTATGTTCACTTTTATATATATATATATATATATATATATATATATAACAGTCATTCAATGTAGTCGATTGCTCATTGAGGTTTTTGTAGGGGTTTAGGTGTAAAGGGAAAAAGTAAAATGTTCCTATTATGAGATTAATGGTTAACCTTACACTTAAAGAGCTTCAGATTTTAGCGATCGGAGAAGCATCCTTTCTGGAGTCTGTTCCACAAAGTAGCAGGTCTTGAGAATATTCTGTCTCAGTGGATCTTCCTTCTTACGAAGGAAATCCTGATCCAGGTATCATGGTGGGTCCGCGCTGTAAAGGTCTGAACTGGTTGCATGTAAGCTTCTCTGAACATCTGCCATGGAAATGGCGATAGAATAGCAACGTACATGAAGAAAAACAACAAAACGTGACGTTTCGACAGTTGTTTTTTTTTCAAAATATTTGTTCAGATTTATAACATCTTATTCGAAAATTGGAAAAAATACAATAAAAAATTAAACAAACGGATCTTGTATATACATATACATGCTTATAAAATGCATAAAACGGATTTGATATTCACTCAATAATGTAAAATAAAATAAAACAATAAACAAAATGAAAATAAGTACTTAAGTTAGTCATTGGTTGTTTGGTTTTGTTTATCGGCATATCAACATCTCTATGGATTATTTAAGAATGTCTCATCCTTTTACAGTTGAATCGGTTCGATGTAACCGTAAGTTCTTTGCAAACTCGCACTTCTTACCTGTGGAACTCTCTTCCGGTTTCTTGCTTTCCAGCCAACTTTGATCTTCAAAAGTTTAAATGCTATGTCAATCGTTATCTACCGTCTTCTTGATTCCTCTTTTATTGTTCTCACTCCTTAGTAATGTTCTTTTGTTTTTCTTCTTTCACACTCAGTAAACCCCTTGTATCTTAGTGGCTTTATTGCCTTGCTTGGGAGCGAAATGATTAAAAACGGTTGAAATTATGAAAATATAAAATTGAACAATTTAGCTTTAATGTTGTCATTATAATGCTTTTGAACATTGCAGTATCACGTGATAACGTTTAAATTCACGTGATTGAACATTTAAACATCACGTGATAACGTATTTTTGTTTTTTGTTTTATAACAGAGTACAAGAAATTTGTTTAGAATATAGGATGAGCGTTTTCATGTAGCTTATACAAATATATGTAATAATGAATTCAATATATTTATCTGATCCTGAGCTGTGAATACGCAAAAGATAGCCGATCAAAAGATAATTCATTTGAGCTTCACCTGTCGACTACACATGTGTGTGAAGTGCTGAAAACTTCAAGGCACAGTCCCGTAAATCTGGAGAAAAAAAATCAGATGTATGTACTTGTTAATCATCGTGCGATAATATTGAATGATTTTATTTGTTTTTTACGGCTTATCGACCCTTTATAGGCTATTTAAAGCCGAAATGTAGATATACATATAAAAGGTTGAGGTCATTTCTGCATTGTCTTAAAGACATGGAAAAAAATATGATACTTATATTCAGATTAAAAAAAAACAGTTGAAATTTATTGGATACATAAGAATGCTGAATTGGTATGTAATATCGGTCCGCCCATACGTAGCAGATGAAGAAGAGATGTGAGGCAACAAAAATGCGGTTCTACAGAAGGGTGCTGAGAATACCATAGACTAATCACGTGAAAAACTAAGAAGTTTTGAGGAAAATGAACGCAAAAGGGGCGCTTTTTGTGATGTCATTGAACACTCGCTGACACTTTTGTAATGTCAACGAATACTCGTTGTCACTTTCGTCATGCTCGTTGTAGTAGAGACTTTGTAAT